CCATAAGAGAGAAAAGAATGTGTTTTCTAAACTATTTAGTGTCTAATCGCTCTGCCCTTTGGCGCTAAAATTAGCATGTTATTCCTTGTCTTCAAAGGCTCCCATCACCAGCACCCAAGCAGTGACTTGCCTTATTAATGCACATGGGCATGATGGTAGCAGGTTAATAGCATCATCCTAGTGCAGACCAGTAGTCATCTGCTTCACAGATAGCTCCTTCCATGACTCACTTAAAGACAGGCTTGTGGTTTTTCATGTCAGCAGGGACCACACGAAATGCGGATCCCTGCCCACTGGTGTGGTCACTCTCCCCTGACTAGGACCTAGGCTTTCCTGCCTTGGTTTTGATGTGTCATCATTCACCTGGAATGCCCTCCTCATCCTTCCAATCCAAACTCAACTTCTACCTTGACTGTAAAACCCTCTTCAAGAATTCATTGCAATTATTATCTTTGTAATTTATTTGGAATTAGTCATTGCATCTGTAGAGTCTGGGAAGGGATTGTGGAGAATATGTAGGACTATGCTCTCACTCTACAGCTGAGGTCCTGAGAGTGTACCAAGGTCACACAACGAGGTCACTATATGAGGTCTGAAGTCCAGGTCTCCTCAATCTTGAGTGAGTAGCCTCTACTATGAGTTTTATGCTCATTGGGTTCAGTAAACCATGGTCTTTAGACAGGAAAGAAAACATATATTAAATTAGAAGCCCAGACTTCAAGCCACTATGCAATATATCCATGTAACAATGCTGCATTTGAACCTCTTACATTTATACATATTAAACACAGATTTAAAAAAATAAGTAATGAACTTTCCTTTCAGCAGTAAAGTTAGAAGTGGTACTGGAAGGGAATTAGGGAAATGTTTTGCTCAGATGACAGATTGTCATCCTGGGCCCCCATTGACTCCAATAAGGATGACAATGTGTCCGAGAGGCTAGAGAAGGGACCTGGAGACAGCTAACATGACGTGGGGTTTGTTAGGGGAACTTACATACAAGGGTGGGTGGCCCAGTGGTGGTGTCTGAACAGGAGAACTGCTACCATTTGTAAAAAGCACGCAGTTCACATAGTATTTTCACTTAGAACCCTCCACCTAACAACCTCCATTTAATCCAAAACAAAGGGCCTCAATCCCCAGTATGACCTGTGTTCTAACGGATGAGGTAGGGATTCAAACGTCCTTCATAGATAAGGAGTGGATCTCCAGGTTGGCCACTCCCAGATCCTTAGCTCAGAACTCCAAGCATACATTCTTCTTTGATTGTAGGGTCATTCTCAGAGTATGCTTAAGTTAAGTTATTGCTGCCCGGTGTGTCTGCCATACCCTCCACCCCAGCATGCTTGAATAGCCCTTACATTCTAATCATACCATTCTTCTGAGATTTCCCTGGGGCCAGGGTTTGCAGAGGAGCCTTGCAACCAGATGTTTCAGCAGCAATACAAACTACTGCAACAAAAAAGAAGAATGAATGTAATAACAATCATACTGTATATAAAGTTTTTCCAAGTGCTCAGGAGTTGATTAAACCATCTGGTTACAGGGTCATAAGATAGTGATTCTATAGCAGAAATATGTATATCTAGGGCCCGCATGGCCTGTGTTACATTGTGAGAGTAATCAGGGATATATACACAAAATTCAGTTTTAATTAATACACAGGTTCTGCTCTGGTAGGTGGTTAAGATGTCCTGGGCCATGCAATTTTGCAAAGTAATGCACCTAATTTGGGCAGTTTCTTCAGTGAGAAGAGTAATATCATGATAGGTATCATTAAAGACTGCAGCCCTATGTTTAGCCAGGGCCTCAACTTGCAGCTGTATGTCTGTTGTCACCACTTGGGTGGTGGGCGGGGGTGGGGAGCAGCAAAAGTGGCCAACAGGTAAAACTACCAGGATGCATGCTTCCAGTAGTGCCTGGCTTTTACAATTTCCCAGTTAGGAAGAATGGTGTGTAAACTGGGCACGATGTGTCCCAACAAATGAGGATGTCCCCAGGTGCATCTACCAGTCCAATTATAGGGTAAGTAAGGACAACCGTGGATGCCATATGCCCACGGCCATCCTAAGGGGTGTGGTAGGCCCCCACGTGGAGAGTCACTCTGTCATCACAGTCATGTATCACTGGTTACCTGAAGAGACTGGTTACATTGCCATCACATTCCATGTCTATTACCTGAAGAAATAGATTTCATTACACTGGGGGGTAGCCATCCCCTATCACCGATTTTAGCTTGTGGCATGCTATTATCATGCCTTTTAATACATGTGGGTGTACAGCCCACAAGCTATGTCTATACTGCTGTTGTCCACCCTGGCCCATCATCTACAGAATACCCCACAGTGGGGGTGACATTAACCTGCTCCTATGCTAAGTGGAAAATATGTTGTCTCATCTCTGATGGTGGGAAACTTATCACATGAAGTGCTTTTATTGCAAAAGGGAAATGGGTGGGGGTCATTATACCAAGTATAGAAGTGGCTCCAGATACTGAGGTTAGCTGCTTGGATGCCCCATGGCAGGGAGGAGAAGGGCAGCTCTCTGCAGAAGCAACTGTCCATTTTGTTTTGGAGAAAGGTCACCATTTGCACCCAGTTGGTGAACAGGTACACCACCTATGGGTGACAGGTGAGATACCTAGTGGGTAGAAGAAAGGGCAAGTCAGCCGGGCACGGTGGCTCATGCCTGTAATCCCAACAATTTTGGAGGCCAAGGTGGGTGGAACACCTGAGGTCTGGAGTTTGAGGCCAGCTGACCAACATGGTGAAACCCCAACTCTACTAAAAATACAAAAAATTAGCTGGGCATGGTGGTGCATGCCTGTAATCCCAGCTACTTGGGAGGCTGAGGTAGGAGATTGCAGTGAGCCGAGATCGTGCCACTGCACTCTAGCCTGGGCAACAAGAGCGAAATTCTGTCTCCAGAAAAAAAAAAGAAAAGAAAAGAAAAGAAAGGGCAAGTTAGGCCATCAAAATCTAACAAGACAGGAAGTTGTGTTGTTCTGAGACAGCACCACCCCCAGCAGCAGCCTGTGCCTGGTTTGCAATACCACATGGATTGGCCACTTCTGCAACGTGTTGCAGCCAGAGTGAGACAGTGGGGATATTGTAATATCCCATAATGAGAGGATGATCACCCCCTTGCACAATTGGGGACCAGGATTGATTATTTAGAAGTACACGTAGGAATAGGTTGTAAAATAGGTGTGATCTATATATCATGTTCTATGCCCTTGCCCCATGGAGTGAAAAAACTGTACCCTCTGGGGCTGGTTTGTGATTTCCGGGCCCGTGTAATGATGTGCTCTCCAGTGGGTAGGTTCTATGGCAAGGGCATAGACCCAGGTTGAGTTCCAGGTTGAGGCAAAGGAGTAGGGGACAATCCCTCATACTGTCAAGCTGGATCATGACGGTGGTATCAGTCCTTGAGCCTGAAGAGTGTGTGCACTGGGGAGATGAGAACACACACGTTAATTCAAGGGTGTCTTGGGCCTGCATGGCCTGGTTTACATTGTGAGAGTAATCAGGGATATATACATACACAGTTTTAATTAATGCACAAGATCCACACTAAGTGTTCAGGGCTTGTGATTTTGCAAAGTGACACGTCTAATTTGGGCAGTTTCATTCAGGGCGCAGATGGGGTAAGCAGTGTGTCCACAGAGCCAGAGAGGGCGTCTCCTGCCAGAGTTGTTTCTTCAATGGTTGTTTCATCCATTCAATCAGCCCCACTGCTAGAGCGTTGTACAGCAGGTAGAAAAGTCAATGGATATCCAGGGCCTCCACCGATTCCTGCACTTTGTATATGGTAAAGTGAGAGCCCTGGACACTGCTGATATCAGTGGGGATGCCACAGGCCACACATAACTCCAGTCTTCTTACGGTGGTTGTCTGGGTGACATACTTGCTGGGATATGCCTACAGTAGCCCCATGCACAAGTCAAAGCATAGTGGAAACCATCAGATAGGGGCGAAGGTCCTTGGAATTCTGGGACCTCGGCCTTCATCCTAGTATAAAGGGGCTGCTACCTGCCATTCCATTAATCCTCATTTTATTGATACAGCTAAAGATTTACTAACTATCCCCTCCAGAAAATTTATCATAAATTTACAATAAAACCAACCCTGTCACAAATACTTGGCCACTCTTCTATTTTTATTTTCTTTGTAGACAGCCATCTGTTCATCCTGGTGTATTGATTGGTGTATTAAGCTGGTTTCACATTGCTACCATGGTTGAATTAGACAGCTATTGCTGCATAGCAAGCAAGCACAAACTCTCATAGCTTATTGTAACAAGTATTTATTTATTGGTTATATATCTGTCGGTTAGTTGGGGTTTGATTGATTAAGGTTGGCCTTGGCTTCTGGCCACAGGATGGTTTGGGACTTTCTTTTGAATTAGAGTTGTCATAGTTAGCAAATAAAAATACAGGTTCCCCAGTTACATTTCAATTTCAGATAAACAACAAATAATTTTATTATAATTATATCTGATTATGCATGGGAATACTTACATTTAAAAATTATTTGTTGTGTGTCTGGAATTCCATTTTAATGGAGTGTCTGGTATTTTAGGGAGCAATCCTTCTCTGAGAGTGGAAGCCCAAGGGAACAAGCTCACATTTTGAGTCTTTGGGTCATGCCTTCTGACATCTCATTGGTCAAAGCAACTCACATGGTAAAGTTCAAGTCACAGGGTGGAAGAGGATACTTCTGGGTTGGGTGGGAGGAGGGGGGAGAGTAAACATTAATAAAGAATAATCTGATCTACCAAAGTAGAGAATCAATTATTTTAATAATCTTTGTTGTGAGGCTTGGAAAAGACTTCTAGAGGATCAAATTAGATTATGTCTATTTCATTAGAAATTCTATTTTGGGCCAGGCGTGGTGGCTTGTGCCTGTAATCCCAGCACTTTGGGAGGCCAAGGGCGGATCATTTGAGGTCAGGAGTTCAACACCAGCCTGGCCAACATGGTGAAACCCTGTCTCTACTAAAGATACAAAAATTAGCTGGGCATGGTGGCAGGTGCCTGTAATCCCAGCTACTGGGGATAATAATCAACTGACACAGCATATCCAAGAGTATTGCCTAGAAATCTATATTTATTAAAAATAAAACTGCCTAAGATGTTCTAGGAAGATGCCAAGAAGAGTCCAAGGCCATGACCTTCTCATCAACTCCTTGCTGGGTGCAATTCCATCCATAAGAATATGGCCTAAATTCAAATACAACTGCGACTTTGTATTGTCTAGAAGATGAATCAGGAGTAGGGCTCTGTGAAGTATAGCATAAAAAGCCAAGTTTTTTTACAAGATGGGAAAAACCAAGGACTTAGTGACTTGAGAGGATATCAGTATTTCTGGTGGAGCTTTGGTGGGTCAAAGACCATTCATCTTGCTGCTTGATGAGGGTGGCTACTTCCCTGAACCTCATGGAGACACACTGTACGGGAAGAAGTGCCTCCTCCTGCCCGTCATCTGCAATTCTCGTCTGACACCATGGTCAGCTTCTGTTGTGGTTCTGTCTGCTCTGAACAGAGCTGTGGCCAAGGCCTCTGCCAGACGTGCTGCTGCCCCAGCTGCTGCCAGATCACCTGCTGCAGAACGACTCGCTACCATCCCAGCTGCTGTGTGTCCAGGTGCTGCAGGCCGCGGTGCTGCCAGTCCCTGTGCTGCCAGCCCACCTGCTGCTGCCCCAGCTGCCACATTTCTAGCTGCTGCCGCCCCAGCTGCTGTGTGTCCAGCTGCTCCAGGCCCAGCTGTTATAATCCCCAGTGCTGCCAATCCTCCTACTGCCGCCCTTTTGCTGCACTTCTAGCTGCTGCCACCCTGGCTGCTGTGTGTCCAGCTGCTGTCATCCAGTCTGCTGCCAGACCACCTGCTGTGGCCCAGTCTCCTGTGAATCCTCTTGCTGTTGAACTTCATTCCTGACCACCAGCCCTGGTTCAACCACCATGTTGTCAGTGTACTAGTCATTCTCCTTCCTCTTCTCCACTGGACCTGGCCTTGCTGTGATCCACCACTACAAATATATAGCTAATTCCACCAAGCAACCATTTTAAAAACAACAATTTAAATGAATATCTTACAAAACCTCCAACTTCTATGCTTGGTGTGCAGTCAGAAGACCAGCTATCTCACACTATTTCATTGGAACAGGCTTCTAAGCTTACAACTGCTGAGTGTGGTCTGGACTTTGCAATGAATTATGTCTGGTAGAGTAACTATAGCTCAATAAATACTCTCTTGCTATCAAAAACATTTGTGACCTTTCAGTATTTCTTAGAGTTGATTATTTATTTGGAAAACTGTTTGGGTTTCTATAGTATGGACAATAACATAAAAAATGATACTATATGTATCAGCCAAAGCCTGTATTAGAGAAAATATCAAATAATTCATTTTTTTATCCAAAACAGATTGCAGACTTTACCTGCCATCAAGTTTATTGAGACAAAACAATAACTCAATTTTTACTGTAATTAAATTAAGAACCAATTAGCAAGCTATTGGGATCTGGGAATTGCATAAAATGAATGATACCCACTTCTCGTCCCTCAAGTAACTCACAATAAAATCGTGGGTTTTTCCTTTTTTTTTTTTTTTTTTTTTTTGAGATGGGGTTTCACTCTTGTTTCCCAGGCTGGAGTGCAGTGGCATAATCTCAGCTCACGGCAACCTCTGCCTCCCAGGTTCAAGTGATTCTCTTGTCTCAGCCTCCCAAGTAGCTGGAATTACAGGCATGAACCACTATGCTTGGCTAATTTTGTATTTCTAGTAGAGACAAGGTTTCTCCATGTTTGTCAGGGTGGTCTCGAACTCCTGACCTGGGGTGATCCGCCCACCTGGGCCTCCCAAAGTGCTGGTATTACAGGCATGAGCCACCACGCCCAGACTGAAAGTTATTTTTCTTTCACTCTCCACCCAATAAATTCAATTAATCATGGATTTAATTTAAATACATATGTCAGGGAGAGTATGTTAGTAATATTAGTGAGAAAAAGGACTCTCTTCTGTTGGAGAAAAGTAATATATATGTAAGGATTGATTCATAGAAATAAAATGTGTCAATTCTGAAAATTCAGGGTAACATGCACCGGTCTCAAACACGTAAGATTATGTGAAGGAGAATCAGATCACAGCCGAATGTATATATCTTTAAGAAGAGTATTATTAGAAAGACATTTAAAAAATTATAGTCCTTTCAAGGAGAAGGGACAAGGTTAATTCATGGTGAGTTCTATGGATAAAAGAGGGATGATTTTAGGCTGCAGCCATAGAGTCAGTGGGAAAATCAACGAGCATGAGTGACGAAACACGTCACTGTGGGAAAGAAAGTGATGGAAACTAAGTTGGAAATGCAGCTGAGTTCTATTTTTGAGATGCTTCATTGACCCATTAATGATATTCATCCACTCATGCTCCATTAAAACTCCAATTGCAGAGTTTGCATGCAGGTCTAACTATGAGACATGCAAAGGTTAGGGCTCACTACACATGACCTGTATCAAGTCACCCAGCTGCCTGTGTTTCCTTTATAACTTTGAGATTCCCTTTTGCATCAGGAGTTCAGTTCATATTGTATTTCCTGTGTCTTTTCAAGCCATTTCCTTCCATTTCAAAATGATATCAATCAAAATGATATCAGTAGGCTCAAAAGCTCTAGGCAAAACTTTTAGTTGAAAAGGAAAATAAAAAGGTAAAGTCAGCACAAAACTCAAACAACATATTCAGAAATTGATATGGTAATGCAACGTGAGAATCATATCTTTGGGCTCAGGCATCCCTTTTCAATTTATTCCAGGGCCATAAATGGTCTATACAAGCTCTTTCTCATTGCAGCATTCCTTAAGTACCTAGGCCTGAGAAGTCTATCAGAGTTTCAAACTAGTAATGATGCTTATTCTGTCATATCTGTATATTGCAAAACTGTATTTGTTTTGTTCATTTCTATGATCTCTTCTATGGCACGTAAACATTTATAAACATGCTATCTTCATTTTTGAATTTTTTCCTTTTTTTTTTTAGACAGGGTCTGGCTGTGTCACCTAAGCTGGAGTGCAGTGGCACCATGTCAGCTCACTGCAAACTTCAACTCCTGGGCTCAAGACAACCTCCCCCAGCTACTTCAGTCTCCCAAGTAGCTAGGACCGCAGGCATGCACCACCATGTCTAGCTAATTTTTGTATTGTTTGCAGATACAGGGTCTTACTATGTTGCCCAGGTTGGTCTTGAACTCCTGAGCTCAAGCAATCCACCCACCTTGGTCTCCCAAAGTGCTGGGATTACAGGTGTGAACCACCATGCCCACTTTATCACCAGAAAGTATAGGTATTGTTACCCCATTTTTTAATTTGCCTACCACTTGTGTATTCTTTGCTATTTTTTATCCTCTACCACTTTTGGAATATTTGAATCTTTTAAAAAATCTTTTAAAATTTTACCAGCTTCATCTCTCCAAAGCAATATTTTATGCGTGACATTTATACTGTAATGGAATTCTTTATTTTGACTTATATTTCAGTCAACGGGAATATTTCTTAAAGGAATTTTAAAGGAAAGTTATGTATCCTGAGTCCTTGAATCTATGAGGAGATCTTTCCACTGCCTTCACACATGACCAATAGCTTGTGTGGATCAAAATAACAGCATCTGGTTCTCTCACCTAAGCTGGAGTGTGGTGGCACCATTTCAGCTCACTGCAAGCTGCAGCTCCTGGACTGCAGCCAACCTCCCACCTCAGCCTCCCAAGTAGCTAGGACCACAGGCATGCCACAATGTTTTTTGCCCTTCAATACAGTTTAGGCATGAATAAAATATTGAGAAATAAAATTAAACTTCAGAATTATTTAACATGCTTTGGAAACACAGAGAAAGAATCTTACCAACATCTGGAGCATGGGCACTAGTTTACTTCAGGAATAGTTAAGGGGGAGTGTATATGTGAAATACTAAGTCTAATTTTAACTGTTTAGTAATAGTAGGTCCTTAACATGTCAGAAAATAAACACTTATGTCCTCTTATCCTCTTTGAATCCATCATGATACACCAACTTTTAAAAGGTGTTAAAAAACAGAAACCCTCTTCTTATTTTCTTAGGACAGGAGATAATAGCACATAAGAAAGGGTAGCAAATTTGGGGAAAGAGCAATGGTGGTCAACTAAAGATAACAAAAGGAGCTACAATGTGAATGCATACAGAGAGAGTACCACAGAGTGTAACGCTGGTTTTCCTTGAAGGCTCAGAAAGGCTCAGAACGGCTCAGAACCTAGAGGCACCAGATAATACTGAAGGCAGGGTAGGCAGCGGGCTGCTTAGACCCCTGGATCCCTACCCCACCCTACAAAGTTGCTCATTAGGCCTCCCCTACTTCCAACCAGGAGAAACAAGAGGTTATCTTCTAGAAGATTTAGTAAGAGATACTCTAGATTTGGGAACACTAGAGTGAACAAAAGTCAAGAATAGAACAGAAAACAGACCCATGCAGTGAAAATCTGAGCCCTGTGCTCACCATTCAGGACTCTGATGACCATAAGCCTTCCAAGCAGAATATTGGAAGATTCTCCTCTAAAGAAACTAAAGGGGCCCAGAGAAAGAACATATAAATCTTGACTTCCTTTTGGTGGACGAAGGGGAGGAGAGGTGAAGAGATAAATTAACAAGCCCTGCTGTCCACGTAGGACTTTCAATTGGCTTTTTAGTGCCATGTCAACTATATGCTGCAGACACTTGGGAAATGTCTCCAGCCTGACAATTCACACTAATTTAAAAAGAACAAAAAGAAAAAAGGGGAAGAACAAGTTTGACAGGAATAGAAACTATAGGAAGCAGCATAGAACTAAAAAAATTATAAAACAAGAACTACTATAAATAAAATACTCAAGAGAGCTGAGAGAAGAAATTCTATCTTTGAAATAAAAACAAGATTCTAAGAAACAGAAGCAGTCAGAGAAGTTGGGTGAAATCTTGAGAATTAAAATGTGATAGAAAAAATTAGAAAAAAGTTCAGTAAAATGTTTGGAAGGTAAATTAGAATAAGAAGTCAAAGAATTTGTTCTCCTGTCTTGAAGATAGGTAAAAAAAAATTATAAAAAGAAGTGAAAGAAATGGACATTAAAGAAAATATAATAACACAGAGGATCAATTCAGGAGATCTACCACTCAATGAAGAAAAATTTTAGAAAGACAGATAAGAAAACATAAGGAGTCAGGTGTAATGGTGGCCTGTGCCTCTAGTCCCAGTTACTTGGGAGGCTGAGGTGAGAGGGTCCCTTTGGCCCAGGGATTTGAAGCCAGCCTAGGCAACATAGTAAAGTCTTGTCTCAAAAGGCAAAAAGAAGACTGGAAGGAAAGGGAAGGGAAGGAGATGGAAGGGGAGGGAAGGGAGAAAGAAAGAAGGAAAGAAGGAAAGAAAGAAAAAGAAAGAAAGAGAAAGAGAAAGAAAAGGAAGAAGGGAAGGAAGGTAGAAGGGAAGAAAGGAGGGAGGAAGGAAGGAAAGAAGGGAGGGAGGAAGGAAAAGAAAGAAAGAGGAAGGAAAGGAAAGAAAGAAGAGGACAGAAGAAAGAAAGAAAGGAAGAGAGGAAGAAAGGAAGAAAGGGAAATAGAGAAAGAGGAATGGAGGGAGGGAGGGAAAAAGGAAGGAAGGAAGGAAAGAAGGAAAGAAATATGAGGGAGAAAACTATCAAGTAAATAGTATAAGAAAATTTCTTTCAGAAGGGAGCTCCAGATTAAAAGAACACCAGTGCTGAGCACAGTGAATGTAAGGTTCACATTAAGATACGTCACTGTGAAATCTCAGAATATTAGGGATATGGAAATGGCACTAAAAGTGTCCAACGAGGAAAATAATATGTGGTTCCCATACCATTCAGGAAGTAAAATGGCATCACACTTTTCAACATCAGCACTGGAAGCCAGAAGACAATGGGAAATGCCTTAAAATTTCTTAGTGGGATGTTTTTTAGCCTAGAATTCCATGCCTGGGCAAACTACCAAACAGAAACAAAGGAATAGTAAAATTTTGAGATATGAAAAGTCCAAAAAATCCTTACTGTCCCTGCACGCTTTCTAAAGTAATGTCTGCAGGATGTGCACCACCAAAATGAAGAGGTTGACAAAGAGGAGAACACAGATTCAGAAAACAGGAATTTCAAGTCAGAAAATCAGAACTGC